CGCCTCCCCCCCCCGCCGCCCGTCCTTCTGTTGCAGATGAGTCGTTGCCGTCTCACTTCACGATATCGCACTGAGAGGCGGTGAGCCATGGGGGAGAACAGTCCTGACGGCAACGTTATCTACTATGAAGTGGAGGAAGACGATTTAACCCAAGATGACAATATGATGAGGTTTGCTGATAAAAACGGGCTGGTTTCTTCATCATCTGGGACGGTCTATGACAGGACAACCGTTCTAATAGAGCAAGACCACAGCGTGTTGGAAGATGATGAGGATGAAGGACAGTGTGGCGATCACTTGCCTTTTTTACCAGAGGGTCACGAAGAAGGATTTCACTTGATAGCAGATCATGAAGGAATGTCCCAGGGTTATGTGCAACACATTATTTCTCCAGATCAGATTCATCTAACCATAAATCCTGGTTCGACTCCCATGCCAAGAAATATCGAAGGAGCAACGCTCACGTTGCAGTCTGAATGCCCAGAAACCAAGCTCAAAGAAGTAAGTAACTAAATGTGATTCCAAATTTTACGCTTGTTGTGAGTCCTTTTCCCCTGGTGACCCTAAATGCTTTGAAAATGTGTTTTCCTAAAGCTGTTTGCCGGGAGGCAGACAGAAGCTTCCCTTGTTCTTAAAGGTTACTATACAGTGGAGTGAATTACGCTCCATTAAATCTGCTGTTACTTTTAGTGATAGTAATGCTTTGTGCTAATAGGCGTAACTGTTTCCCACAGTCACTTAGTGGGTAAGCAGCAAAGCTGCGAGTGTCATCAGTTTTTACTCTAATATCCTGCTGCCTTCTTGCGAAGCAGCCAGGAAGCACTTTCTGACATGTGGTAAACACACTGGATAGCAGGAGAATATGGTATTGAAAATGCATTTATATTAGTAGCCTATGTGATTTTAGTGGTCTTTTAGTTTTCTTTTGGTTGAACAATTGTTTCCCGAGTTCAGAGATAACTAAAAAGAACGTGAACTCTGTTATTCTGTGCTTAACCACATTCTTGAGAAAAGCGCGTCCAAGTTAGAGGTCAAATTCCAGACTGTTGGCAGTAGCTAAAGTATGAAACTGAAGATGCCAAACTTAAAATTACTTGTAGCTTTATTGTGTCGCTCGCAGGGAAACTGTGAGAAGAAAATAACAGAAACTTTAGACTACCTTCTGCTGTATTTTGAAAGCTTAAGTCAGCTTACATATTTAGAATGGTCATTACTTTTAATTCTGTTTCCCTAATGAAGGCTACCGGCATGCAGAGTGGCGAGGGCCTGTACAGACTGACTTGGGATTCTTGCTTTTTAGGTGCAAAAGCAATGCAAAGTTGACTGAAATACCAATGCAGTGACAACTTTATGCTCCTTTTTCGGCCCTGCTGAGTTAAATGAGGGATGATCTAGACAAGTGTCTGTGCTAGTATCAGTGGTAGTAGTAAGTCACGCTTGTGTAACTGATATTCAGTGTAAGAAAGAATTGCAGAAATGAGCCCTTGCTGAGAAAGGAAGCTGGGTTTGAATGCTCTGAATAATTTAGATTAGTGGGGAACCTTCATTATTGCTCGCTCAGCAGTGAGGAAATGGGTCTGTAGGAGGTCAGCTCTGCAATTAGTTATGAAACTTCTGGACTGAGGTTTGTTCAACAAGCCCGTTTAAGTCTAAGGAACTCCTTTTGCTCAGTTATTATTCATATTAGCAGCTGCTGTATCCTACCTTCTTAGCTGCTAAAATATTTAATTTTTGTATGTCAGTCATGTCAGTCATATCAGTACTTTTCTTCTTTTTTTGTAGGATAATCAGCTTGCAATCTGCAGTGTCCAAGAACAGTGTGTACTAGCTAAATAGGTGTTGATGACTGCACATGCGATTAAACTGACTTTATTTCTTCACCCCTCCTTTTTAAAAAAGGCTTGTAAGACCTGGAATTTCCTAATGAAATCCTTTACCTGAATTTATTTTCCATCTCTTGAATTAATTTTCTGGGTCAGGGTGGGGTGGGGAGTTACACTATAATTTGAGTGCAGTGGAAATAAGCCCCAAGCATACGTGACACACTTCCATCTTGTAAAAACCCTTTTTGTCCGGTTGTTTCAAATGCTTGATAAGTTGTCTGGAGACGGGGAAGGGAAAGCTCTAAAACCCCGGAAGATTTGGCTCATGTCTAAAAGTCAGCAGTCCAATTCTTTGGTACTTCCAAAACATCTGTAGCAGTTCTAACACTTGAGATAACTTTTTAAAGTCTTAAATTTTCAGGTCAGTCTTAGACATTTATGAAGCAAAAGAGGATTTTACACTTCATTAATTACTCTTAACTTCCTTTTGTTATATTATACTTCTCTCACCATAATCCTGTCTGTAAGAATATGTGTGATTATATGTCTTATATAAATGTGATTATAGTCTTCTATTTCAAATTCATTAATGTTTTTTGTTCAATGATGACATAGAAAAAATAGCAATTTAAGGGGAATCTCGTAAGCTCAAGATGAGTTTACTTAAGCTGCTCAGTTTACCTTTGACTTTGGCACAGTGTGTCAGGCTCCGCTTTTGCCAGTCTTGTTGATTATTGGACAATTAGTTCCTACTTCTAAGGTAAATGTTTAATTAAGACTCTTCTAGCTTCCCTCTGGTGCAACTCCTTGGCTGAGACAGCACACCGTCCTTTGCAAAAAGCGCATGTGATGCAGCCACAGCCTTTATCTTCACAGCAACTTGTTTCTGTACACTTTGTATCCTAGCCATCTGTGGTTTTTCCTGTTGCTGCCATGTTTCTTTTTTGTTGTTGCTTGCATATGGCAATGGTCTTGAGTACTTGCTGCTGGAACTGTGAGTCTTTCATGGTCAATATCTACATAATTTTATGGGTGTAATCAGTGCTTATTTGATGTGCTAATGTTCCTAATGTGAAAAGAGAACAAAATGCTTTGCTGCTTTACAGAAAGTTTTATTTTGCTTAGAACATGGTGCTAGTATTGCTTCTGTCTGCAGTATCCTTCTTGGAATAATTTGTGAAACAAAGATTTGGTCTTTGAGTAAGGGGGGAGCACTGCAAGGCCTTTGTCATATTTCAGGCCATTAAGCTGAAAGTATTACTGCCATCTTTCTTTAAATATGTGCATTGGCAGCTAGGAACCAAATCCTTAATCAATAATTAATATTATCCTTTTCTTTGACTTCCTAGACCTAAATGTCTAGAAAGCTTAACGGACTCCTCACCTGATTTTTAGTTGGTTCATGCCTGTGTCAAATCCCTTGTGTATTATGGGAAGTCCTGTGGAGAATGTCCTGTAATGCAGTATGTAAAATGTTAATTTCCAGCTGCCTCAAAACTCTAAGGGGGAACACTTACTTCAGTACTGATACATAAATTGTACTGAATCTGATGATCCCTGGTGAAGATAATGTACCCTTTCTTGTCTAATAAAATGTACTTTCTGACCTGGCTGTGTTTTAGCTGTCTATGCTCTTGTGTTTTGGCTGACTCAACACAACCAAACTTGTTAATTATGTTGTAACTGTATTGTAATGCTTGGATGTTTATTGATAACTTTTACCTGATCTGAACTGTAAATTAAGGGCAAGTTGCTTTACAGTGGAATTACTGCTTCCTTCTCTGTATGGTGCTTCTAATAATGCTAAGTGACTAGATAAAAATGTGAAGACCTCCAAAATATCTTCCTCTTCAAGTTACTGTTGGTCCTGTCAATCTAGATCACTTGTTCAATTTAAACACTTGATGTTTTTCATCTTTCCTCTTTTTGCTGTCTTGTACAAAATCAAGGGAGAATCAGATGTAAGCATTAGGAGCTGGTTTTGGTGTAGCGCACCACTTCATTGCTTTAGCACACATGTATTTCTTGACTAGCAAATCTATAGTAAGTTAAGTGCTTTATAGTAAACCTTGGATCACAGGAGGAGAAGGATTTAGCAAGAATTTGCTCTGTATTGTGAATTTCATGGTAGGCTGTCAAGTCATGAGTCCAAACATGACATTTTCCTACATGTGCTTGTATGAATCCATCGTGTTTCCTGTACTTAGGGCAGCCTAGGTAACTAGTGTCTATAGAAATAAAGAGAAAACAGTGTATCTTAAATAAAATACAGTATCAGAAGAAATTGAATTAATATCTCTCAACTAGCTTTTTCTTTCTTCTTCTAGCTTTTAGGTTATTTAAAGCTGGAGAGACTAAGTGTAGAGTAGGTCCTCTTCCCCATCCCTTTTATAAAAACAAAACAAAAAACCACAAACAAATCCAGTCTCCCTTGTTAGATGGGAATGTAGCGAGGAGTGGAAGAAGTGGCACTTCAACAGGGCAAGGTATTTTGAAAAAGGAAAAGTTTTTGGGTTTTGGCAGTAAGGCTCCTGAACTGTAGTTTTTAATAAGCCTCTTAATATGGGTAATTTTCTCTCAATCTTACTGCATCTTACTGGGACAAAATGCTTTTTTTCACTTGTTCTTTCATCATCCTCTGTAATTTAGTTCTGCTATCCTTTCCTCCCCTACTGTATTTTGCAATAGCTAAATATGTTTCATGGTAGTTAAAATTCTATGGGATAATGTTGCTTCTCATTTGTCATGTGAAATTGGAAATGCATGGAGAACTAGTTCCTGGATGTGTAATTGTCTCTGAGTCTGTATTTGACACTAAAGTTTCTCCCTGGATTAATCGAGTAGTAAGATAAGCGTTGATAATAAATAGCTTGGAAAACTCACCTCCATTTAGCAACATGCTGTTAACATCAACTATATCTAAGAGGCAGGAAGTGAATTCAGTACTAGCCAAAATGAAAACTACTGCTAGTTATTTTATAGTTGCCTTATGTCTTTCTAGCTTTATAGTTATATTTCTATGCTCTGTGTAAGGATCTCTTGTATGTCTAACCTGCTTTAATATTCTCCATATGCTAAGGTTTTATCAAAGGAAGGTGAAGGTAGATGCCAGCCTGTTGTGGTATCAACAAGAGGCTACAGATTGAGACTACACAAGAGACTGCTCAGCTCCTATATACTCAGATTTTATAAAGCTTTCTTAAAGGGGTCCTACTGGCAATTTTGTCCCCTACAAAATAGGTTGGAAGTGAGAGACTACTTACTTCTCTTTCCTTACGGAGGGCCATCTAGAACCCAAATTATACCTGCTATGAGTTTGTGCCAGGGCACTACATGACCACAGTGCTTCCTGGGAGGCTGTTGGGATGATGCGTTTAGGTAACCACAGTCCCTGCCCGTGCTGAAGAGCTCATTTCCCAGGCTACCCTTGTTCTAGAGGTGATCTTCTGGACAGGCAGAGCCTGGGTCTGAGGAACCTGATTGTTACAGCCCTGAAATGCGTACCTTAGTGCTTTAGACCCTCGTTCTGTAGTTACTGTTATGAAAGCCTTAAACCTGTATATAGAGAGAGGGGAATGAAAGCATGCAATGAAAAATCCTTTGGGTGCCTGAGTTCTCAGGTACTTGATATAGGATCTAGTAGGCACGCTCTTAAGGGGAAATGTTGAGCGCACGTGGCTCAAATTGACACTGTTAAGGGCTGTTACTTTGACTGTTTGAGAAACGAAACCTGAAGGTGTGTACCTTCCTTTGGACCTTGTAGCACTGATACGGTCTCCACCATCAGTACCAGCAAATGTTAGCATCATAAATAATGCATTCTAGATCCCCTCAACTGTCCTTATTCTTTTGCCATTGTAGTATATGAATGGGAGACAGTTTTTGGACAAAACACAAATATGTTTCAGAGAGCCATTTACAGATCTCGATAGTGATTTTACTGAGGGCCCATTGTTTCCTTCATTTATGTGATATTACACAAAGCATTAAAATTAGTTATTTTATAGAAGGATTAAAAAATATTCGGTTCTTAATTAGGTGTGTTTTTGGTGTTACTCCTACTTAACACATCTAGCTAAATTCTTGTTATTCTGAGAGGAGCATGACTTCAAATAAAGTGATTTTATACTTACCTGACAATAGGTCAAGGAATCCCATGTTACTCTGTTCTCAGCTTCCAAGCTGTGGTAGTAGAAAAACATGATTATCAAATGCTCTTTTCTGATAGGTGTGTGTATATAAAGAAAAAAGAACAATTGTTGAGTCATGGGATGGGTAGAAACCCATAAATGTTACACGTTGGTTATGTATAGGTTCATCCGGTTCTCCTGGTATCAACCCCGAATTCAGTATCTGTTTTTCTGAAGACAGTCTGCAGCCTTTTCTAAGCAATAATACTAGGTACTGTGAGATAGGTGCTTTGTGCCTTGGAAAAGAGGAAAATTGCTGGCTTATGTCCTGCTGTATTATCTTCCTGGCTAGTTGTTAGAATACTAAATCTGCAAGTTCCTGCTCCTCTGTTGTGAGTTTGCATTGCCTTCTAAACATTTCCAAATCAATGGAAATACTTTTGGAATACTCTTCTGCTTCTTGCCTGTCAAACATCAAGTCCTTTCTTGGGCTCTATAATCACTTTTGGATGTTAAGCTTTCTCAACATCAATAGTCAAATGAAAGCCATCAGTCTGATAATTAATGTTGAAGATAAATTTATTCAAGTATATCAGATGGCTTATTCCTCTACTTCACAAGAGAGAATGAGATTCAATTAAGCGTTATGACTTGCACACTGGAAGCTTCTACATGGTCTCTTTCCACCTGTTGCAGAAGCTGGGAAGGCTACTAAATCTAGTTCAATATGAAATTTTTTCCTGGTGACCTAGATAGCTGATTGAGAAATCTGTAACACTTGCCTTTTGATGTAAAGCATCAGTGTTTGACTCATTACACTTCAGGCATTGACTATTTAAGTAAACGCAGAAGAGAAGAACAAAACAAAATGAAGGCTGTTTTCGAGATAATAAATCGACTGATAATTAGACCATGTGAGATGCTGAAAACTGTAGTTCTCATTCAAGGTGTTAACAGGAATTCAGTACACAGGGCAGTGCTTTTGAGGGTCAGGTTGTGAAAGTACATTTTCCCTTGTCTTCCTCCTCCATAAATAAGTACCTCTGCTAGAAGCACCTGAGTGAAATGCAGGTGCTATGTATAGGAATAGCGGGTAGGTTTGAGAGTCTCTCAGTGTCCTTTCCAACTATTCTATCAGATTTTTAGCTAGAAACATTTTGAATTGTTTTTCCTTTTTTCCCTCCTCTATTAGATTACTGTTCTATAAGGTCAGTCTGCTTTCCCATGTGTGCCACTCCTTCCTCACATAGTGCAGCAGAAATATTAAGTTATCTGATAATTAAACGGCAATTTTTTTTTGCCTTTGGGGTCAAAATCTATTCCATTGTCTTTGACGTTTAACTGCAGTTCTACCCTGTCTGGATTCCAGAAATGCTTAAAAATTATTAAGCATGCAGCATTTTGTCTCTTAGGTTAAGAGATACCAGTGCACCTTTGAGGGCTGTCCGCGCACCTATAGCACTGCCGGAAACCTACGCACTCACCAAAAGACACATCGTGGGGAATACACTTTTGTCTGCAATCAAGAAGGCTGTGGCAAGGCCTTTCTTACCTCCTACAGCCTCAAAATCCATGTTCGAGTGCACACTAAGGAAAAGCCGTTCGAATGTGATGTGCAGGGCTGTGAAAAGGCATTCAATACACTGTACAGGTAGGAAGTCTCTGCCTATTTCTCTTGTAGATGCGGCTGTTGCTGTTTAGCAAGTTGCATCTACTTTTTGTTTGTGTCTGAATACAATTGTTACGCTTCTTCCAGATACAGATATGAATATAAACTCCCCAAAATGTGGAAGTGCTGTACCAAGAGTAGGATGACAGAACCTATGATAACATACTTAGCTTATTTATATTGCAATAGTATTGAAAATGGTGCACAGACACACGAATTCTCAGATTTGCTTGAGGACTTTGGAAGTGATATCAATTACTTTCATAAGCTAGTTACCTTCAATTCAGAATGTTAAGCCTTTGATCCTGTCCTGCACATTTGACTGAATGGGTTGCTTGCTTCAGGTAGAGGCTGTCTCATACTACAAGTCGTAAGAGGAATTTTTTTGGCATGGTTTTTAGGTTGAAAGCACATCAGAGGCTTCACACAGGGAAAACATTTAACTGTGAATCAGAAGGCTGCAGTAAATACTTCACAACGCACAGTGACCTGAGGAAGCACATTCGAACACACACAGGAGAAAAGCCATTTCGGTAAGTTGCTGGATGGCAATTTTTACTTCTGTGGGACTTCTGTAATGGGCCACGTGTGCCAAAAGGCAGCTATTACTGTCCTGAATGAAAAGCTATTCTCATGAGAAAAAAGTGAAGGTGGCTAGCATTTGAGCATGTTTGTTCTAGAGCTCCCTCAGTTGCCTGTAAAAGTGTATGAAATGACTGTCTTCAAAGACAAGAATAGTCAAGCTACTTTTCTAAACATAAATGTGTGCCATGATGAGCATTTTTTTAAAACATATTGCTGCTTCTCTGCTGTGATGCAATGTTTATTCCATGAAGGAGCCCTCCCCCCCCCCCCCCCCCCCCCCGCCCACCCCCCCAATGCTGACTTCATGCTTGAATTTTAAAGTCCTATTCAGAGCCCTGCTATAGTCTGTGTAGCATGCACAGCAGCTGTGGGAGATACCTGATTACTAACACAGATTAGCATTAGGACTGCTTTTCAGAGTCCTGGGACTATTGGAAAGCGTGATCTAAGGTTGTAACTAATGCATCAAAGAAGCCTGATGCTAACTCTTCTGTGATGCCTCATTCAGGTGTGAGCATGACGGCTGTGGAAAGGCTTTTGCTGCAAGCCACCACCTTAAAACACATGTTAGGACACATACTGGTAAGTCCCAAGGGTTTGTTTTTTCTTTAATTGAGCTTATTCAGTTTATACTAACTCTCAGAATCCTAATATGTATTTATACTTACATATAATATGTGGGTGACACCAAGCTGAGTGGTGCAGCTAATACACTTGAGGGAAGGAATGCCATCCAAAGGGACCTTGACAGGCTGGAGGAGTGCACCCATGTGAACCTCAAAGTTCAACAAGGCCAAGTGCAAACCCCTGCACCTGGGTCAGGGCAATCCCCAATATTCCATTTATGCACTTCCATTTATGCTTGACAGGTCTTGAATTTCATGAGCATGTTTCACAAATGTATCAGTAATGATGCATAAAAATTAAATGTTGTGTTCTTGTGTCAGTTCATGTGGTAAAATGGAAGCTTTTCTCTGCAAGGCTCCCAAGAATGCTGAATGCGTGAAGTGGCATTAAACAATCTTGTTTGTATGAAATATTCTTCTAGGTGCTTTAAAAGTACATGTCTGATATAATGTTTGTAAGTGTGTTATATGTGTTTTGTGCTGCTTATAGGGGAGAAACCCTTCTTCTGTCCCAGTAACGGCTGTGAGAAGACTTTTAGTACACAGTATAGTCTCAAGAGTCACATGAAAGGTCATGAGAAAGGACATTCCTATAATGCACTCCCCAATAACAATGTATCTGAGGTTAGTAGCACTTCTTCCTAATGCTTCTGTATTAGATGGAGATAAAACCATACTTTGGGGAGGAAATTATTTGGTCTGTAGCTTGTTCTAACGGTATAATATTTAAGGCTGGGATTTTCAAAGGCAATTGTAACTACTTGGTGCCCCGTCTCCCATGAAGAAACCCATGGGTGCCTCTTTTTTGAACTGAGAATTCAATTTCAATTCTGAAATTGCTGGCATTCAAGGTGGCAGTGTAGGGTTTATTCTCATATGCTGTGTTACAGTGTGCTGATAATAAACAGTGGGATCAGTATTTCTGAAACTTCTAGTATGGTATTTGGTTACCAAGTTTTATTTAGAAAAGCTCATCTAAATTTGTCTATTCATTTTAATTGCATTAAAATTAACACTTGGGCTGTTGCTGCTTTGAGTATGCCACGTACTGACACAAGTTTATAGGCTATTATATATATTATCATGCTTTCCTTGTAGATTCTTATGTTTTAATCAATACTATGTAATAAGCATGTGAAGTAAAATAAATACTAACTGTTAAGGTTTAAATTTTTTATTTTCTATAGGCTGATTTGTTCCTGTGCAATTTAAAATCCTAGGTTATTTAATTTTTTGGAAGTAATGTGAAAGATGTTAAGAATCCTTGATAGCTACTAAATATCCTTTGCTTAGTTAATATTGCTCCTTTGATTTTAGAACTCAGACTTGGGTCACATATAGGTAAAAAAAATTCTGCATAGACAGAGTTGTATGGACTCTAAAAAGTAATTTAAAACATTGCTGACACTATTTTTTAATACATAACTCAATTTCCTTTTTTTCTTTACAGGATACGAGCCACTCACTTTGTCTGAGTGACTTAAGCCTCATATCAACAGACTCAGAATTGCGGGAGAACTCTAATCCAGTGAGTTACTGTCCTGGAATTGCCTCACCTGTAATTTGAGTTCTACTTTTTTCTGGCAATGTGCTTGTCCTGTCACCTAGAACACAGCAGATTAGATATATATGGCTGGTGGCTTCTGTCTCGTTTGTTCAGGCCTTCGGCATGCTCTACTTTAGGCTTTCATTTTGCTAGTGAAGGAGATGTACTCTTTCACAGAATAAGTGACTTTGGATAGAATTGTTTTCGATGTACTGAATACTGCTTTTTTTGTGTGTCTTGTGGCAGTTTGCAGGAGGCTCTTGACAAAAAACATATGTTTCTTACACACCCTATTGAGCCTGTAAATATGACATATTACTGCTGTCCTTTTTGGAATGTTGGAACAAAAAATAAATATTTCTGTCTAAAAGCAGAATAACCGAGTGAAAGAGGGATTTTCCTCCAAAATATGCAGTGCTTAAGTCAACCTGTTTTTAAAGGCTCTGCATCTGATTTTACCGTAATAACGTTCTTGCTTATTGATGACCGTTGACTGAGCTTAAACTTTACACAGAGGAAAACTATATACTGATGAGACTGTCATTCTTTGTGCTTTGGTGTGGAAGCAGTATGCAGCTTCTTAATATATTCTGTTCCTAGAGCAGTGTGGGTGACAGTAGTGCATAGTCCAGGATATAATCTTGGTGGAGCTATTTTGTTTCTGCTCCAGAAAAGGTTTCACAAACAGCCAAGAACAAATTAATGTCTGTTTCTGTTTCTAACAGAGTATTACAAGAAATAAGGGTTAAACAAAGTGTGGATGTAGAAGAATATATTTTACTTTTGAAGTACTTATTTATTTTTGTAAGGATTTGCTCATTATGTTGGTAAATTTGATTGTGGGTAATAAAAACTAAGTGTCATTTCACACTAGGTAAGTGAAACATGTTGCCTTTCCTGAAGGTGGCTGGTTAATTGGAGAGGTATTTCTGACATTCATATGCTACTTGACTGAGGTATAACATTATCTGATGTCTTCCTCTTTTTCTATTTGCCAGACACATGGACAAGACCTTAGCACAATCTCACCAGCAAGCATCTTCGAGTCTATGTTTCAGAGCCCAGATCATACTGCAAATCACGACGACTCTCAACAGACAGGTACAAATTGTATCTGCACTATTTTGAGAGAGCTTTTTAACAGTTTTCCCCCTCTGCGTGCATGTACTTAATTCAGGATTTCAGACTGAAGATTACTGCCCCACATAACTCTAAGTAGCAAACAGGACTTTAACTTCACTGTTGCAATTCTTTTGTGTTGGAAATGCATTGTATTCACAGACGGTGTAACGCTCAGGCAGTGACAGGGGAACTGACCAAGTATTTACAGCGTGTTGTCGTACAATGCTGACATTGATGCTCTTGGACTTCTCACATAAGCATTGTTTTCAAGCTTCCTCTCTTGATGTAGCTGCACAAACCTGCTGATAAAAAGGCTTCTTAGAGAGAGCTAATGAGGCTCATCAGCTTGTGTGTAGTACTCAGTGTTACCAGCTTCCTGAATTTGGACCTACTTTTAGATTTCACTGTCTAGTGTTACATGTTTTTGAGCACTAGTCTGAAGATGTGAAAGTGGTAATGCTTTACTTAGCAAAAATCCATCAGCTAGCTGATAAGTTCATTGAAAAAGTTGTTTATTCAGATCTTATGAGAACTGATGTATTCCTATTTTTTCTTTGTTTCTTTTGGCAGCTGCCTTGATTGAAGGTTTTAACGGCGATGCAGACTCAGTCACTGCTGTTCCGCCTTCTGCAGGAGACTCGGCATCATTGTCTCTTCCACTTGTACTGCAGCTTGGCATCTCTGAGCCTTCGCATTCAGCACTACAAGCCTCAGCAGCACCTGCTGCTCCCTCCTCCATAGGAACCAGCTCACAGCAAGCTGCATTTGGAAATCCTGCAACTGTTTTACAATCCCCAGAAGTGCCTGTTCCTCACAGCACACAGTTTGCAGCCAGTCGCCAAGACTTCCTGCAGCACACTCAGACACCGCCACAGCCCATTGTACAAGGACTTTCAGTGGTTGCTGGGGCATCTGCCCCAACAGCATCAAGTGCCACTGAGCCCCTGCCAGCTGTAGTTCAGACTGTGCCTGTCGGTGCGAACTCCGTTCTGACCAGTAATCCAACTATAACAATTACTCCTTCTCAGAGCACCGCTATTCTGCAGTCCAGCATTGTCATGGGAGAGCAAAACTTACAATGGATCTTAAATGGTGCCACTGGTTCTCCACAAAGCCAAGAACAAATGGTTAGTATATCTGGCATAGCTTTGAAACAGCTTGAACCATCTCTCTTCCTCCTAGAGTTCTTGCTTTTGGAAAGGAAGGGGATCAAACCTGTGACTGTAAGGTACAAACCAGGATGCAGTATTGTATAATGCTTATCATGTTAATGTGTATAAACATGTCACCGATGCAGCCCCTAAAATAAGATAGAGAAATAAATAGAAAATAGATAGAGAAATCCAGGGTGCAGAAAAATCTCGCTTTCTTCTTTTCCCCAGTGACAGACTTCCCACAGCAGGTAACAGCTTGGTTTATCCAGGACAGCACACCACATGGCCTGAGATTATATGTGGGTTTTAATTTATTACTTTTGACAAGTAGAAGCACAAAAAACTCTGCAAAGTTTGTGTTTAGACATTTTGTAATCTGTCTTTTCCTAATTTAGCCTGATAAAAAGATAATGAAAAGTTTTCTGGGAAAACAGGATGTTTCTGGCTCTCCAGTAAATCTGGATAGCTGAGACTTCAAGTGTTTTATCTTTAAGAATACTCTTGCCACCTTTAGACCTTCTCAGTTGCAAATGGTCAAGAGTGAATGGCAGCAGGCACAAGTGGTATGAGCAAGCACAGCAGTTTTTCAAGAATTCATTCATTCACTTATCAAAAAACACAAGCTGTGTTAACAAGCGTGTAGTGCGGAGGGTGATCACTCCCCATCTTTAGGACTACTGAAATAATACTCTGAGTTTTGGGATAGCCAGAACATAGGCCAGAACCAAGCTAAATGTTATATTTTTTTATTACTTTTCCTGGGTGTTCTCTTTGGAATGTGTGTATAGCTGTTTCTTTTGATTGCAGCTGTTTAGAATTTGAACAATAGAAATTTGATTGGAATCAACTCACACTTTTTTCTTTTTTTTTTCTTTAAAGCCACAAGTTCCAAAAGTAGTAGAAAAGGTTTTTTTTACCACTGCATTACCAGTAGCTGGTAACACAGGTAAGCTTGACACTGAA